CGTGCAGTTGCTGTGGATATTCAATGATTTGTGAGAAGCCATGGAACCATAAATTTGAGCACATAAGCAAATAAGGAAGTGAACATTTGGCTCTCTACTGGGAATAACTGTTTTGTAAGAATCTGTTTGCAAAGTTTGGCTTGCATGGATGCCAGCAAGTAAGAGTGATGACTGTGGGCTTGCTCTTGCTCAAACACTCTTACTACAAACCCTCCCCCCCCCAGCCTAGTTAGTCTTCAGCATCCATGTTGGTGTAACCCAGTAGCCTTTGTGTCACTTAGTCACAGGGTTGTTTGTTTGTTTTTCTGTCTTTTTCCTCTAAGGACTCTTTACTCTTTTGGCCCTTTCAGGGACCCTGACACCCAACACCCAATAAATATACATGGAAACTTATTATTTATAAATGCCTGGCCTTAGCTTGGCTTACTTCTAGCCAGATTTTCTTAAATTATCCCATCTATCTTTTGCCTCTGAGCTTTTACCTTTCTCTGATTTATGCATATCTTACTTTCCCTCTCTCTCTGTGGCTGGCTGTGTGGCTGTGTGGCTGTGTGGCTGTGTGGCTGTGTGGTATGTGGCTGTGTGGCTGTGTGGCTCTGTGGCTCTGTGGCTCTGTGGCTCTGTGGCTGTGTGGCTGGCCTCCTTGCTCCTTCTCTCAGACATATATGCCCTCCTATGTATTCTTTCTGTCTGCCAGCCCCATCTATCTTTCCCCTGTTTTGCTATTGGCTGTTTAACTCTTTATTAGACCACCAGGTGTTCTAGAAAGGCAAAGAATCACAGCTTCACAGAGTTAAACAAATGCAGCATAAGCAAAAGCAACACATCTTTATATCATTAAGTAAAAGCTCTATAGCATAAATAAATGCAGCACACCTTAAAATAATATTCTACAGCATCACAGTTGCCCTTTGGTCCTAGAACACAGGTCTAGAGAGGTGGAGAGGCATTTTATTAGGAACTAATCTTATTAGTCACCACAGCCAATATTCAGGTCTGTTGTGCTGTATTATTATTAATTATTATTATTATTATTATTATTATTATTATTATTATTATTATTATGCTGTTTTAAGGATTTAAAATGTAGGATATAGCCTGAAGCTCTCACTGCTTAGGTGTGAGGGTCTATGTGGCTACTACCTGCAGGAATAATGGCTATTCTTAGTTGAAGTGTTAGGTTGGAACACATAACAGGTCTGAAGGGCAAATTTTAAGGAACTTTGAATTTGCTTCTCTGAAAGAAGGAAATATAAGGTTTTATACAGAGTGGGTATTTAAAATGGACTTTGGTGGTAGGCATAATTAAGAGCCTGCTGGTAACATTAGAAGCAGATGCATGAGTTGGTGTGGATAATGGACTTGTGGGAAGCAGTGACTTCTTTTTCCAGTGATGATTTAGATGCCTAAAGATGTTGAGCTATGTATGGGATAATGGAGAAGTTTGGATGCATAGGTGAGCAGGGGTATTGTATTTGTTTAAATGTGTGGTATAGTGAAATGTATGTCTGTTTTTGTTTTTCTTTTGTTGTTGTTTGTTTGATGTCTATAGCATTTTAATCTCACCATAACTACCTTTGTTTGATCGAGTTCATTTGTATATAGTGTTTTTAAAACTTTGAGTTACAGAATAGATACATTCTTACAATGGAAAGACTGATCCCCTCAGAGTACCCGAACACTGGAGTTCTCAGAGATACTGGTCTGGTGGTCTTCTTTACAGTGTGAGCTGCTCCCTGGCTGCTATCTCCTTGAGTTCAAGTTCATCTCATATGTGTTAGTTCATAAGCACCTGGATTATGATACATACTACCCATTGGCTTTTTGTGTACAAATCAGACATTGACCTTCAGTTACCTTTTTGTAAGATTCTTGTCTATGTTGCCCAAGGGGAACACTGGAATTTTTTCAAATGCTTTAAATGGATTGTGATATTACAGAATGATGCCTTTGTCCTACAGAGTGCTGAATCTGATTTAACTTAAAATAACTACTGTGATGTTTTTCTTTGCTTCATTTGACCTCAAGTACCCTTTAAAAACTGACTAGGAACAGATTTACAGAAAACAGCTTGAACTTGACTTAGGAATTTTGCAGGGGATCATGTTTTCTTGTCTCTTTGAAAGCCCTTCTTGTTCATGCTTATTATATCTGTGTTCTCTTCACAGCTGGGCCAAATGCACTGCATAATGAAAATTCAATTATGATGGTTTCTAAAAATGGTGCCTTAAATGAAGGGTATGAGAAAACACACTGTTACTCCACATCTGGTCAACCCAGCCAGTGCTTTCATTCTGGCTCCCAGTGTCTACTTCTGTAGATATGTGGATTTACTTTCCATTTGCCTGTGTTTGTGTGTAGTATGTGTGTGCATTCATGCATGTGTATATGAGTGTTTGGACGTGTAGGAGGGTGTAAGTGTATATGCACATGTACATGTGGAAGCTGGAAGCTCATGTTAGTAGTTCTCCACTATATTTATTGAGGCAGGGTGTCTCATTTGACCAAGAGCCTGCTAGCCAGCTATTTTGCCCAAGGAATAATTGATGATCACCACACCTGCTACTGCTTTTATGGGGCTTCTGGGGATCCAGACTCTGGTCCTCACACTTACACAGCAAGTGCTCTATGCACCGAGCCATCCGCTCAGCCCTGGAAATATTTTATTCTATATAGAAAGATGTATTTTCCTCACTTAACTCTATTAGATCTAGTCTCCCATTACATTGCTCGTCTCAGGAAAAGAGACATCAGTAGATCACCTAGATTAGCAGTTCTCAACCTGTGGGTCACAACCCTTTTGGGGATCGAACCACTCTTTCACCTAAGAGCATTTCAAAACATAGGCATTTATATTACAATTCATAACAGTAGCAAAATTGCAATCATGAATTAGCAACAGAAATAAGTTTATGGTTGGGTGTGATCACTACATGAGGAACTGTATTAAAGTGTTGAAATATTAGGGAGGTTGAGGACCGTTGATCCAGATCCTTCCGTTGAGGTGAAGTCATACTTGTCAGGCTTTCTCCTGAAAGGCCTGATGGTCTGCAGCTCACATCCCGATGGAAGAATGAGGTTGGATACACAGCAGAGGGAACTGAAGTTGAAATAAAACTATTCTTCTAGGCCTTTCAAAGAGTCCCAGCGAATTTGCAACAAAGATCAACTGCCAAAATAACAGAATCCTTTCAGGATGTTCAATGTTCCACCGGAAGTCAGCAAGCAGAGAGGGCATAGAATAGAATGGGAGTGAGTGACGTCCTCCGATGAGGACTGCTTTATCAGTCACTTTAAAGAAGCGCGGAAGCCCCATGAAGGAAGACAACTTCCTGAGAGTATTCATCTTAGGGGGAGCAGATGTGTCTCCCATCACATTTTTAATCTTTCCCATTATGACACACACACACACACAGATAAATTCTGGAATCCTTTTTAATCTTAAGCAAACAACACACAGGTCATTACATCAATTTCTAGGTGGTTCTCAAGAGATTTATTTTGAAATTGTTCATTTTCCAGAAAAATCTTAAAATATAGATCCTGAGCATCCTTTCAACATGAATTTCTCCGATTAATTTAACACTCCTTTCTCTTTGGCCCTTGGGACGGCTTTAGAAGCAGAGTGCAATTATTGGGGTTGGAGAAATGGCTGCTTGTGAAATGCATGCTACATGAGATGAGATGAAGATTTGAGTTCAAATCCCTGTAATTTAGGTAAGAACCAGATATGGCAGCTTTTGTCTGTAACATCAGCACTGGAGCAACAGAGGCAGGAGGACCCTGAAGCTTGCTGGTCAGCCAATCTAGCCAAATCATTGAACCCACTGCATGTTCAGGAAAAGACCTTGCCTCAAAAAAAAGGAGGAACACATCTGATATTGGCATCTGACCTACACACACACACACACACACACACACACACACACACAACATACACATTCAAATAATCAATCTGAGTCACTGTCTACAGCTGGCTAGAAAACTCCCTGAGGTAATGCCTGCCTCCACCTCCTCAGCACTGGGATTGCAATTGTGACACCATGACTGATAATATCCAGGCATCTGTGCTGGCCTGCCTGTGGGGTCCTGACAGGATAGACCCTCAGCTGCTGCCACTAAGAGCATCACCTGTGCAATTCACTATGTTCCCTTTAAAGGGCCCTGCCCACCTCCCATCCTCCTCCTCCTCTCTCTCTCTCCTTCTTTCTGTCTCTGTCTCTCTCTCTGCCCCTCTTTCCTCTCTCCTGCTGCTCCTGTTCCCAGAGGCCAGTCTCCCCCTTCCCCCTCTTTCCCCTTTTTATGATCCCTTTCCCTAATTAAAAACAAAACAAAAACCCTCTGCTTAAACCCTGTCATATGGTGTCTTTCTCTCACACTGCTTTTCTTAAGTTATAACAATGGCTACAGTTTCCATGTGGGTTCTTCAGATTGAACTCAGGTGCTTGAGTGGCAAGAACTTTACTGACTGACCTATCTTCCCAGCCCCTTTAAGTTTTAAAACACAGAATAATCATACAGATTCATCAGTTATAATGTCAGGAAAGCACTGGCCTTGGTAATGGGGATGCCAGAAGCACTATCTTCCTCTATAGAGGGAACTTCATCATCTTCTTCTTCTTCTTCTTCTTCTTCTTCTTCTTCTTCTTCTTCTTCTTCTTCTTCTTCTTCTTCTCCTTCTCCTTCTCCTTCTCCTTCTCCTTCTCCTTCTCCTTCTCCTTCTCCTTCTCCTTCTTCTTCTTCTTCTTCTTCTTTCTTCTCCTCCTCTTCTTCTTTTTCTTCTTTTTATTCACAGAGCATACAGATGAAGTCAGTGTTGTGCTAACATAACAGCCCTAAATCTGGAGGCCATCTTATGTTAAATAGATGAGTCAGGGTTTCATCCCCGGCTGCTCTTAGCTTACATTTGAGGCAAAAGGCTCAAGTAAGTCATTTAAGATTTATGACTATGAATGGCGAAGAAACCTAATGGTTTAAATAAAATGCACAATAGAAAAAAGGAAGAGATAAAGCCTTTTTATTGGTTCAATTAAAGTGGAGAGAGGAGAAAGAGAACAAATCCATTAATTATCTTAAGAAACATTACACAAAAGAAGGTGGATTTAAGCACAAGTGCATGTTTAAAGATTTCAAGGGGCAAGCTTATGGATTATTTGCGTTAAGCATCAGGAATTAAAATGAATGATTTTTAGTTCTGTGGATTAAATTTGTTGGTATGCTGTCTTGCTAGCACTGAGATAATTTTTTTCCTTTTTAAGTGATCACGTTACTGGGTGATGTCTGCAGAGGGGGCCAGGTCCTGATCGAGGACTCCTCCTTGCTGGGTCTCAAAATGAGGCTGTCACTGTTCTGCCCTTCAGGGGCTGGGTTGGACGATGGTTGCTCAGGATAGGAGCAGCCGCCTCTCCTTCTGCATTTGACAGAACACTGCGGAGCTGTGCCAGCTGTGGGGCGAGACATTTAAAGGACAAAAAGCTGTTAAAGTCCCAGCAAGCACTTCATTTCCAGAGAACTTAGAGCTCTGTCGCTTGGAAAGCAGTTGAGGACAGTGGCCGTTTTCTTAGTGGGCAGGAAGTGGCTGGCTGCACCTATTCCCAGCCTCTGCACAGGCTTTTCGCTTAAATGAGGCATAGTTGGCTCCGTCAGAACACCAGCTTTCTCTTTGTTAGCTGGGGAGATCGTGTGATTTGTCACCTCAGCCCTCCTTAATTTCATGTAGCACCTCCTCTGGGAGACTGCTTTTAAGATTAACTGGGTTAATCCATGCAAAGGGCCTAGAGTAGGGCTTGGTGTACGAAGGCTGTTCTCAACAAGCATCAACTACCAACAGTGCACAATGCTGTGAGAAACACAAGACAGCTCGGGAAAGCAGCTGTTCCATCAATCACCAGCAGCATCTTTAGAAACAATAAGGGACTTTGTGGGATATTTTAAAACTTGAGCTAGAAAATCCGAAACGATTTGACCAACTGTTAAATTAGACATAATGAGAGCATGGCGGACGCTCCAAGGAAAGTTCACTGTTCCTGACATTGGAAGAAACCACCTAACAATTGTTGGCTTTTCTTTACGAAGAACGGCCGGCGTTCAGAACCTCATGCATTTATTTCTACATACAGTAAAAACAGTTACTGCATGGGCTTTCTTTTTATTTTTTTTTTTTATTTTTATGTTTTGAAAACTCGGGACTCTTCACTAGGAGCAAACCCATTTCGGTTACTACCTGCTCGGGGCTGACACTGATGCTTTCCTTGCAGATGAACCAGGTGACACTTTCATGAAGAGGAGGGTGAGTCAGAGAGCCGAAGTAAGTCCAGTAATCCAGGGAGGAAGGAAGGAGACATGATGGGTCAAAATTTGTGAATGGAGCTCGTTTCCCCTGGGAACAAAAGCAGTATATATTATGCTATTTGTATCAATATATTCCCTCTTATATGTTACCTAGAGATTTTTAGGTGCATTGAAAATTTCTACTATACTTGGTTTGTGACAGGTATATTTTTGAATATGAACAATAAAAAGGACATAAATATACTATATGGAAGTTTTGAACATTAAATTTTCCTTTCATTTGGTGAATAAACAGAAAATCCCTAAAACTTCTGTAATTTATTTATCAAAAGACACATAGTATTCATTAGGAAACATTTTAATTTCTTTGGATAGTGCTCCATCCTATTCTAGGGGCAAAGGCATTCACAAGACCATAGTTACATTTATTCTTCTTTATTTCCACGATTTTTTTTAGGATCAATTGTTATTTCATAAAGAAAATGGACTGATATTTGTATGCTAATTTTTATACAAGTTTTACCAGACCTTTGTATCAATTTCATTTTCAGTTGATTGTTTTAAATTTTCCAGAAGAATACAGTTCCAGAAGAATACATGTCAGTAACAGATGATGATAATTTTGTCTTTGCTTTCCCAGTACTTAGTTTTATATTTTGTTCTTTAATTGATTAGTGGTTAAATTTTTAATTAAGATGTTAATTGTAATGGTGGTAGACACTGTACTGTTCTGTTACTTGATTGCAATAGAACAACTTCAGTTGGAGAAACTGGTGATAGGAATTTTCATATCTAACCTGATAATGCAATGCTTCTACTCAAAGATGTTCTGACACTAAGCCATCGGCATCTAGAATGAACTCTACTATAATTTTATCAATATGCTCTTGTAATCAATTTGCTAAAATTTTATGGTTATTTTAGCCAGCTACTAGGAAAAGTTGTGCTACAACTTTGCTTTTTTAATCTTCTTCACCCAGCTTGGGTACTAGACTTCATCAGACTGATCAGAGTCTTCTGTCCCCTCACCTGAGCAAATATTTAGTTGGCTCTACATGACTGACCATTTCTCTTTTTTGTCCTTTATTAGTTTTCTGCATGTTTATGTGGATGTAGTATTGTGCACATGTGTATGTGTGCTCATTTACATTCACATGCAGGCATGTGTGCAGGTGTGTATGTATGTGAAAGCCCGAGGTTGGTGGCTGGAGTCTTCTTTCATTGCTCTTTACATTATTTTATATGTGGGTCTTTCAGTTGAATCCAGAACTCTCAGCTAAGACAGTTAGTCAGCTGGCTCAACTGGTAACTCTGTCTCTCTCTTCCAAGCTTTGGAGTTACAGGTGAGACACCATATACACCTGGCATGTGAGTAGGTGCTGGGGATATAAACTTTGACCCTCATGTTTGTAGGAAAAACGCTTTTTTTTTTCTTTTCCTTTTTTCTTTTGCATGGCAAATCTGTTGAGCAGTCTACCCCACTTGATTGTTTCTTAAAGGCTGAGTAAGTTTTCTTATTAATTGGACTGGTCATGGGATTTTGTTTAATAGATATATTTTCAGTGTCTTTTCCAATTATTCTTAGAGTTTTGTCTATTTGGTTTTTCTTTTGTTTCTTTCTTATAATTTTGTGTTTTCATGAATATTATTAATTTTTTATCTGACTTTTCAAGTTTATCGATAGACTGTTACACTGATTCAAAATTTTTCTTCTGCGTTTATATAATATTTTCTCGGCTTTGAATAGAATTTCTTACACTTACGAATGAATTAACTTGTGCACCTGTCTGTAGGTATATGCGTGTGAATGCACAGTGGGGTCAGAGGACAACCTGCAAGTGGTAGTTCTTTCCTTCCACTGTGTGGGCTCTAGGGGCTCAAGCAATCACCTTTACCTGCTGAGCCATCTTGCCAGTCCCTCGAATAGCATTTGGTATTTGTGCCAGTTTTTCTTTACCAAAGCTGCCCAAATCATTCTTTTGTGCGGCTGTTTATTCAATAGAATAAAATTTCATTTATTGATAGAATAATGTTTTGTATTTATCTGTCATCTTACTATTTTCTGCTTTTATTCTATTTCCTTCTTGTTTTGTTTTTATATATTTTGACACTCCTGAGTAGAGTTTAAAAAATTCCATCTCTCACTTTACAATATGCTTACTCAAAGTTCTTTTCTGAACTCAGCATAAAACAAACATATTTTATATAAAAACACAATAGTTGTTTACACTGTGAAAGAAAATGACAAACCACTTTGACCTCCAGAATAAGGAATTAATGTTAAAACAGTGGCACTAAAAATGGGCATTTCAGAGAATCCATTAAGGGCTTTGTGTTTAGTTCAGAATCATATTTCTCAAACAGGGCCTTATTTTTGCATTACTAAAGAAATAAGATATTCCTTTTCATGAAACAGAAAGTCATCATTAGAGTATGATTGGTTTTAAACAGATCTAAAAGTGACTGAATAAGGTGTTTAATTAAATGAATAAGCATCATGAAGGCAAAGCAAAACCAACTCTTGCATCAGTGCAAGTAAGGTCTCTATGGCACCTTGTGGCTTGTTGGCTTCTATACCTGTATTCCTGTTTCCCATTTCAAACAGGCAACTGGATGATTTATGTACTTCTGTTTGTTCTTGTTTTCAGAATTAAATTGTTTACTTAGATTATTTACCTTAGTTTTAACTGAGTTTAGGGCATCAAGTACTTTCTGCACGTTTGGGTTGGCTGGACCAACCTAGCAAATTAAAAAGAAAGAAAATAGGAGTTGATTGTAATTATCAAAATACTCTTTAGTCAAAATTTAATTTTTCTCCATCAATAATTGAAGATGGGATTTCTTTCTGCTTCAAGAGACGAAGTCTTACTCTCTGCCAGTTTCTCATCAGGTATAATCTTAGACAAAGTAGTAGACAGAAAATATGGCCTAAATTTAAATGTGACCAAGATGGCCAATGGTATATAAGACAGACCCTAGATGTTTATTAAAACAATGACAAAAATTGCAGAGTCATTTTATCTGTTATCTTAGTTATACTTGATTCATTTTTGTCATATTTTGAATAAGTGGTAAAAGCCACCTTCAAATACTGTAATCTCAAAAGTTACTTAGTCATCCCAGCTTATCCAATTTAATGACAGCTTCCTTTAGAGCATCTCTCTTCAAAGATAATATAAATTTAAACGATAAGAAGTTCACAGCATCTACCATTTTAAAAATCAAGTGACAGCTATGTAACTATCCATGACTCACCTTCAAGAAAACGCCAAGGATTGCTATCCCGTCAGCTTTTGAGATGGCTTCAGCAGCACTCGAGTACTTGGCAGAATTCCAGTGAACTATGTGGAGCTAGACATGGTGATATGTAAGTAATTCATTATTAATACTGATGCAAAGGAGAAGACAGAAGATGAATTATTTGTCATATTTAAGATGTGTCATGGTACAGGTGGATAAAATCCATGTGAACCCTCATCTTGCAGGCAACTGACTTTAGGATAAAAGATGAAGTCATTTTCTCTCACATGAGATAATTTTGTAAGAAGTCCCTGAATTGCTTGGAAGCTTGGGCACATTGGCATCACCTCAGTCAAATTCTGCAGCCTAAACTCTTGGTGGAATTTTAGGCTTGTAAATTCACATATACCTGGATGTGTTCCTGATACTGTTTTGATATCTCCATGTGAATGTCTAACATATCTGTGGAGGCACATGGCTAGTAGAAAGCTCAGTTCCTTATAACACATCTGTCATTTTCTTCTCTTAGGAAACGTAATATGTAACAGGTAATTGCTCAATCAAGAAGTTCCACAGTTATTACAATCTCGTATTTTACACAATTATCAGCCTTCATGCATAGCAAAGTATTCCTCCTCACTTGGTCATAGCTTGGCAGTTTTTGTATTAGCTTCTGACATCCTGAAATTTCCTTCCTTTGTCTTTATAATTAGGACTGAACTCAAATGCACACCTCTATGAGTTGCTTACCCAACGTAAAGGTATCATTATAACTCAACTCTATTCATTTCATGTGTTTATCTGATTTCTTCTTTCTCTCTACCCCCTCTCTTTTCTTCTTCTTTTACCTCACTTCTGTTAAAAAGCTTTTTATTTCCAAACCAAATGTAGATTCTGACTCAGTTACTTTAAAAACAAAAATCTAGTGTATTACAAAGACAAATAAATAACTGATGAATAGAGTAATTAAAACACTCATTTGGAGACAGATCACTCCCCAGGCCTAATTTAAACCTTGTCTCATTTTCATTTATTCTTCCCATTCAATGACAATTCTTTGCAAGCTCTCACACTGCCATTTAGTACTATTTACTTAATCCCACCATTGATTCACGTGTTATCTCCTGTGCAGGTAAAGTTATTGAGCACTTATAATGTGGAAGCTGGCTTAAGTATATGAGGAGACTGACGCTATAGTGCCTAACTATAGGTCAGAAAAATCACACAGCCAATAAGAGGCTCAGTTTTGACTCCATGAAAGTCAAGAGAGAAACTTGCACTTGCCACATATTACCTGTACTACCTCTTGAACCTGGTGGGTGCCCTATACAAGTTTTTGGGTTGAATATTATATAAAACATTAAACTTCTTGACTAAATGTGTCTTATCATTGGCTTGGATTATTTTTTCTCAGTTTAGCTGAATGGATATAATCCTTGATTTAGATTCCATGAATATTTACAAGTATCCTTCCTAAAACATAATACTTTAGGCTTCCATTCCACTTTAGTCCACCTTCAGTTTTACAGAGGGGAAACTAGGAATGAGTTTTTATAGACTTCTGCTATACTAAGCGGTATTGTCATCTGGAGGGTGCCGCATTGAAGACCCCCCATGGAAGGACTCATCTTCCATTGGGAGCAGAAAGGGATGGGATGGGGGTTGGTGGGGGGAACAGGGGAGGAGGGGAGGGTGCAGAAACTGGGACTGATATGTAAAACAAGCTTGTTCCAAATATAAATTAAAAAATTATAAAAAAAAAAAACGCTAAACCAAACAAAGCAACAACAAAACTCACAGTGGGATTATAATAAGCAGCTAGTATAACTACTCATCAAACAGGCTAGTTAAATAAATTCTGATATTTATACAATTGAAATGCCAAGCAGTTACTTTTAAAAGAGTTAGAATTAAAGCTTCTGATTTGGAAAGTGACGACAATACATTGGTACGTGTTAAAAAGCAAGTTTCAAAATCATATGCATTATAAAGTTCATTTTCCAAACTTAAAACTAAAAATGCCATCTCATCTGTATGGAATTATACTTATGTACCCACACTATATATTCACACAGATAGTGAAGAATTTTATATTTTTCATCTCCTCAAAAGGTGAAATTGTTGAGTTTGATGCATGTGTGTCCAGCTTTTCAAAGGAAATATAGATATAATATCTAGAAAGAGATCACAAATTTCCATGGGAGGGAAGATCAAGAGGAGGCAGAAAGTGGCCTGAAACAAGGGATTCTTATAGATTCTTATAACCTTTTTGCAACCATTAAATCTCAGCTCTGTGATTAAAATCTAGTGCTTTGTACTGTGTTACTTCAGTGTTCCTGTCTGGACATGTGCATGCTACTGGTGTGTCCGAATTTGAGAGTTAAGGAAAAGGAGCAGAGTGAAATGTCCAGCTCAGTCAAAGAGTTAAAGAATGCTAAAACAATCCTTGGAACTGGCAAGCTTTTAAAGTTTCTCAAGAACTCTCACCTACAAATTCAGGGGTTACTTTCCATAGAATATTATCCCTCTACTGCCACATATGGTGTGCAGGTGTGAGATTTTAATGGATCTATGTATCTGTCACATAAAGACCAGCAAACTCTCCTCTTTGAGATAGTCTAATAGTAGCTTCTCTAGTGCAAGAGCTGTTTCTTGGGTGTGCTCATGAGCTGTCTCTCATTAATACATCCACTTACCTCTCCAGAATATTTGACTCCATCCACAGTGTGCTCGGATCCATGGTCGTTTGAGTTGCCCCAGTGAAAATGGAATTGGGTCAGCCGATAGCTGTCAGAGAGGGGCCCACCTTTCAGAACTGCAAGGGAGGGGAGGTACTGTCAGCCACATCATCTCTAGTTCATCTTTGATGGAAATCAACGCTACATTGTGTTGTTTGAAATAGAAACATTGTTTCCCCCACTCCAGATCCTGATGATGGCACTCTTACATATGGTGCCTTCCTGATGATGGTAACAGCAGTATAGCTCATGGAATATACACAAATTCCACCAAAGGAACCACAAGCTTACCTATTTATCTTACCAAGATAACGTACTTCGAAGTGAATACTTTATAAGATCACAGTTTTTTTCCCCCTTGGATTTGAAACTTTCCATTAATTTGAAAGTGTATTCCTTCATTCAACCTCACTGTATGGATAGTATGCACAATTTATATTAGTTAAAAATTCCCCATCACCTGTTTTTTTTTTAAATAACTGTTGAAGATATAACAATGTAGTTTGACAAATTTGTTGAGACCCTCTGGCCAGGAATCAAAAGATACTGCCTGTGGGGTAAGGCCACTTTAAAAACCTTTGGTCTGAATGACAGTACAGCCTGGGCAGTCTTTCCAGTCATATGATAACTTAAGCAATAAAGACACTAGATCCAACCCAGTGTTAACAAGGGGCACACGCCTAAAGTACCTAACATTTAAAATTAGAACTGTGTAGGGCAAGCATAGTATTTCACATCACCAGAACTCTTACAGAACAATCCCTTAATAGCTTATTCAATAAATACTGATGAAAAGCTGACCATGTGACAAACAACATGCCAGATTCTCAGGTATGAGGGGAGCTCATGCATCACCTGTCTCCTCATTAAGCTCACCCTCTCTCATCCTGTTTAGAATATCTCTTTTTTGGTTTCATGTTCGTAATGATTTACTCACTAGACTCTTTTGGAGAAAAGTTGCTTCTTCAGAGCTATAAGAATAAAAATCCTGCAATGGCCAGAATATGTAAGATGGCTCATTAAGGAGGAGAAGGATTGTGAGAAAGCAGAGCTGAGAGCTCTGCAAGCCATCTTCCAAGTGGACCCAATGCCTCACAGCCATTGCAATTTTAAGGTACAGAAATACATGTGCAAATACACAGGGTGCGCTGGTGTTTCTGAAGCTACTCTGACTCTGCTGCCTGCTCTTGGGACTTTCTCCTATGGGGTTGCCTTGTTCAGCCTCAGTATGAGTGCCCTTGCCTTGTCTTTTGTATCTGTTTTGCTGTTATGTCTTAGAGGTCTGCTCTTTTCTGAAGGGAAGTGGAGGTACCTCTGGAAGAGAGAAGAAAGAGGTGGAAAGGGCCTGGGAGGAGAAACTGGCTGGGATGTAGTGTATGAGAGAAGAATCTATTTTCAACAAAAATTCACGTAGTAGATTCTAAGGAAATACGTATCATAATTGTCTTTGGGCTCACCAGATTGGTTACCACTGTCATCATAAAGTACTTGGAAGGAATGTCCCACGTTAACAATTTCTTTGGCAGTTGCAGGATTATAGGAGACACTGATAGGTTTCAGAGAGTTGTCATGTTTTGCTTCACTGGTCTTAATATCAATAGGAGACTGGTTGTTTCCATTGGCGATGGGATACAGCTTGCTCCATTGGTCAGGACCTATGGGAACAAACAAGCCCACGTACTCACAGTACTTCATTCCAAGGATCAGGGATTCAACCATTTGTTTATCCAGGCCTCTTAAATGGCATTCAGTGATAAACACTACATTTGGCCATATCAACAACTCAGGTCTAATTATACTGTCTATACAATTATAGCATAGAAGTAGTATGTATATACCAAATTCATTTTTTTTAAAACTTTATGCCCAATGACCAACTACTAAAAATGCATATAAGGGTATTCTAATTATTCAAAAGTGACTCAAGCCATTAGCCTGTGGCTATGCAGTTAAGTTAAAGGGTTAATAAACTCAATATTGGAAATGGGAGTAAGCTCTTCTGATATATGTAAAAGAAGCAGTCTTACCATTTTTGCCATCGTATCCCCAGTTTGCACTTGCCATGATCTCCTGTTTAGTCTTGGTCCCTGAAAAGAGAGAAATGATATGTGGAACGACCAACTGCACCTGCGCCTGCAGCAGAGCTCTTAAGGGTTTTTATAGAAACTTGTCTGCCTGTAGTAGTCCACTGTTTCATCATCATCTCTGCTTATCAGGAAGTATGCATATCAAAATAAATGGCATTGTAAACAAATGTCTGTCAGGGGTAGGTCTGCTCTAATTGTTTTATTTTATTGTAATATAAAAATGAAATATCAAAATCATACATGGTATTAAACTAGCCTTGTTCTCCTGTGCTCCTGGAAGACATGACTGAATATTGACTGAAGCTTATCAAATTTCCTAGAATAAAAAGTACTTTGTATGCTTAGGATTTCTAGTGATGCTATAACTGGATAACTAAACAATGTTAGCAACAGTAATTTAATAAGGAAATGAATTTGCATGGTTTTGGGCTGAACTGAAGGAGCCTCATAATGTTAATTCAGAATCAGATAATAGAATTAGTAATTAATTACCTGTAACATAATGTTATTCATAATGATTTATTTTATAGATAAATTCCAAAGAACTTGTCAATGTGAGACATTCTTCCAATGTAAACTTTTAGAACAATAATAACCAGACTTGAGAAAAGCCCTTTAATCTGGAGAAATGCTGGAATTCATAAATGGGGAAGAGTATACTAATATCAAAGCTGAATATTGTATAATTTTCCACCTAGAATAAAATATGCCATCTTTATAGTTCTCTACAACTTAGGCATCACTTTCACATTGTTTTATTTTACTATCACACATATAAATGCTATAAAGTAAGAATTATCATTTTGTAGCTGAGGGATGCTGAAGGAATTCATCACAACTAACAATATGTCAGGATCTCAGCCTCTGGTTCAGCTACTTCTTTCACTCCACCAATGCACATGTCACCATGGGTGAAGCATGGATTCATGATCCCCAATTCTGCTTTTGGTCCACAGTGCTCATACACCCAGCCTGAGGATGCACCAGCGGGAAGACTCAGTTAGCTTGCTCTCTTGCTCACTCATGCACTGTTGAGTCGTGCCAAGCTGTGCAACACTTTGCAAAGGCAAAGGAACCGGGATATGCCAGGATTTGACTAAGCCTTTCTTTCAAGCCTCCAAGTAACGTACTTTGGAAATAAAACCAGAGCCATAAGCTTCTGAAATAACCAGTTCCTTTCTTTCTTATAGGCAGAACTGTCTAAACTACCATGCACCACAAAGGAAGACGGGCAGACAAACTTTTTTAGCCAGGCCTACCATTCATGCTGTTACTCTTTAATGCTGATCACTGTGTTCTGCCCCAGGAGGAAGTGACCAGCAGCTTCTGAATATTCAGAGGGTGAGGAGACCACAGGTCTCACCCTGTGATCTTAGTAAGTATCAGGAGGCACAGCTTGTAAGGTAACTTATTTTATCTAAACTTTGATTTTTTTAAAAAAAATCTAATGGACAACATTATGGATTTTTCACACACAATATCAGTTTTTAGAGCACATGTGCATTATAAAACAGTTAAATCTAGTTAACGGTCACGTGACCTAGAGTTGATTTTTGTGACAATAGTACTTCATGTCCACTCCATTTTAAAGAATGTAATCCACCGCCATTAACCATAGTCACTTTGCTCTACAATTCCTGTCTAGATGTAATTTACTATCTTTTAGTCATCTCTTTAAACTCAAATTGAACTACTACATTAATCAATGCATTTGTAAGGGAACAGCATTCTTGCACTATCACATGATGATTCAGTATAGGAATGACTTAACATTTATACAGTATGGTAATTCATTTAAAGTTTTAGGAACAAAACTGCCTTGACTCTTTCCTTCATGACCCTTTATTTTATTATGTGCTCAGGGCATGCTCAAGTATTCCTACAAGGAAAGAAATATATATATAGAGAGAGTTGTAAAATTTAATGAGGGTTCAACCCTAACACTTCCCTCACTTACTTTTATTCATTATTTTCTTCTCATAAACTGACTCCCTCATTTTTATGTCTAAGCTAAAGGAAAGGTATTTAATTTTTATCCACTGGACTTTGATCCATAGGCCCCTTCCATTACACTTTCCATGGATTATAACCTTTGCATTGCTTTTGCAATCTGAGAAGATGCTCAATCTATATAGCATTTGTTCTTCTGAACAGCTTATTTCTTGAAACCATCAAATGTACATATGGAAAAAAGCTTTTTGCTTTTTCTGATAGACTGTTCTGAAGAAAGCCGTATGCTCCTGAAACTTAACCATCAATCACCTAGATTGGTGGAGGAAAACTTGCACTTTTTAGAAAAGCAATGCAGAATTACATAAGTAATTTTCCCCTAGAGAGATTACCTAACAGATAATACTGAGAATATTCAACAGTGCTAAAAGTTTTCATTAATAAGAACTAGGGCACAGTATATTCATGCTGTATGTTAGCAATGGGGGGGGGGCTAGAGAAGAATACTGTTTGTTGAATGGTATCAGTCTTTATAGCCTTTAAAATAATAATCTCATTCAATTTTCATAGCAGATCTTAGAAGTTAGTGTCGGCTTTTGCTTTTATTTATTCTGTATGCGGATGACTGAACTTATGACCTCATTTGTGCTAAGCAAGCTCTTGTGCCAACTTGCAGCCTTAAGCCTTCTTTTCTTTCTCTTGCTTTCAATTTTTAGATAGTTCAGGATGCTTGGAACTCATTTGGTAACTCAGTCAGGCCTTGAACGTGTGGCTTTCCCCTCAGCAATCTAAGTAGCTATGGTCTGACTATCAACTGACAATTAAAGCCATGATACTCGTGAAGCAGGACCAGCATTTGAATTAGTGTCTGTTTATTCCCATAGCCCAGGTATGTTCCACCTTTTTGGTTATGTTACAGCATGGTCTTTCTTGGATGCATATAAGACATTTACTTTAAGGTTAGTTCATAGGTCATCACATTATTTATTGAATGATTTCACTTTGACGGGTCCTTTAAAATAGCGCTTAAATTCAATCTTCACATCAGACTCTTAGGAGTTAGGTTACACCAACTAAATCAAGGAAAATACTTTTTAATATCTGAAATTTTTTTTTTAAAAAAATATCATTTAATGTTTTACCAGATCTTAGACTTACATAGTACCTACTCTTAAAGAATAGTAAAGTCATTTTTAGAACTTTTTATTTAATTTTTTTCTAACTCCTTAGATGAATATTTTCCTATGGTTTTTACTTTGATGATTTAAAAATAAACCACAGACTATATAGTTAAATAAGCTGTAATGAGCATTAAATTTAAATTTGTAGTTAAAAACAATTTGTTGGTATTTAAGGAAAAAATGGATGAAGAGTATCATGCATCATGCCTAGCTATGGCAGTGATCTGTCAAATGCCACTGGAAAAAAGATGCATATCTCAATAGGCCCTAAGTCCAGGAGGCAACTGCCTTTCTAAAGCATGTAGAATTCTACAATGCTTCATGACTTTCTTGGGATTCAAATTGTGCTGGCCCATTATCTGATACTATGACAAAAGAATTAGAAGAATTAAGTTACAAAACAACGTTTATTTGGGCTCATGGTTCTGGAGGTTCTAGTCCACCATAGACTATCCCATTGCATTTGATCTGATGAAACATGTCATGGGTAGAGTGGGTGGCAAAAGAACATCTCACTTAAGAGCCATGAAGCAAAGGGACAGAAATCCAGTGGTGTCCTACAATGTTCTCCTATGCTGTGCCCTCAGTGAGTGGAGTGTTTCCTGAGGCCAAACCTCTGAAGGATTTTCCCTGTCTCTCAATAGGCGCCTCTGTGGGAACCAGCCATTTGATACCGTCGGTGGTTTCAATATCCAAACTATCAAACAGAGTTTTTCCCAAAATGGTACACACATTTCCAAAATCAAGGGCATTAATTTCACAATGCTCCCTAAATCTCATGTCCTTCCAGAAATAAAATTTTTGATGTTATGATGACCATATCGGCTTTATTTTGTGTGAATAATTGAGCTACAGGACATGGTAATACTAGCCAGGACATTTCTGCATTGAGATAGATAACAATTATTCTAAACTAATTTAAATGGTCTTTCTCTCCACTTACATTGGAGACATGCTGCTAACTTTGTTCTTCAAACGTGCATTTCAGTGTCTTTGCTCTTGCCCCTGGAGTCAGGGCTTTCTAAGGTCCCATGTTGCCCTCTCACATTTGACTTCCAAATCCTGCACTGTGTCTTTCCTCCCTTATTCTCCGGTCACTGCCACACTATTCTATATCATTTAGTTTGTAGCCTTTGTTGCATTAGAAATTATTTTTGGTCACATTCTGAGATCAGCAGATTCACTTCCATTTCAGATTTTGGAGCAGGATTGGCTTCAGGTTAATGATATTCAGCTGATATCTGAGCAAATGATCTAAATTTTGAAAAACTTCAAAACTGTAAATCCTTCTGTTTCCATCCCCTCTCTGTCTGTCCTTCATGCAGACTTGCTTAATGTCTGCACTAATCCCAGAAAGAGCATCTCTGTGAGGACAGGATCTTGGCCAGTAGTGTTTCACCACCATGTTCTCGCCCTTTAACTTGTGGAAAGCAATGGTGCTCAGTGTTGGTAGAGAGAACAGATGAATGGTCCCTTTAAACTTCAGTTATTTTATGTTAATAAAGAACGCAGCAGGCAAGCCGTTCAGCAGAGCTGTCTGATGTAAACTCTGGGGTGTGGGGGTGTGTGGATATGTGAGCATGTGAATGAGCTTTGTTGAAGGTGAACTCATGACCACATTTGGACTAAGCAGAAAGAACCTTCCGCTCACACTTCTATTAATGGGAGGGTGAAGTGACCAACTGCCTCTGTCAGTCACTTCTGGGAGTGTGAGAACTTTGGTTCTTAGAAGTGTCAAATACTTTGACACTTTGTGTGTCAAAATTTAACTCTTCAATTATAGTTTGAATTTTTATCATGTTAAACTGAAAAGGAAATCTATGCTACTTAAGGTCCCTATTGCTATTATTAATAAGACAAATTTTAACA